TGGACATGAGGGTGAGGGTACGAAGGGACGATTGATGTTGGTGGAGGACTATGAAAGCGATGACGAGGCAGGGATGTAAAATGCAGGCGGTGGGTCGGACGATACATCGATGAGGAGGCGGGGAGGAGGAGGAGGAGGAGGAGGAGGAGGAGGAGGAGGAGGAGGAGGAGGACGAGGAGGAGGAGGAGGAGGAGGAGAGGAGGAGGAGGAGGAGGAGGAGGAGGAGCAGGAGGAGGAAGAAAAGGAGAATGAGGAGGAGGAGGAGGAGGAGGAAGATACGGAGGGCGATGATGGTTTGCAGAGCGAGGGAAAAGATGAGTGCGAAGACGAGGGCGAGGACAACATGGGACGATTGGTGTTGGCGCAGTGCGATGACAACGAGGACAAGGAAGGGACACCGCAGGCGGTGGGTAGGACGATGCGCCGATGACGAGGAGGAGGAAGAGGAGGATGAGGAGGACGACGAGAAGGCCGACGACGACTACGAGGACGAAGGCGAGGACGAGGGCGAGGACGACAAAGAGAAGGACCAGATGAAAGACAAGGTGGCCGATCACGAGGAGGAGACCGAAGAGGGCCAGGCGCAGGGTGCTAAACAGCTGCGCCACGGGCAACGTGATCACAGGACGACAGAGGTCGCTGCCGGAGGCGGTGGAGCAGGAGGAGGTGGAGCGCAGGAGGAGGTGGAGGTGGAGGTGGAGGAGAAAAGGACGAGGAGGAGGAGGAGGAGGAGGAGGAGGAGGAATGGAGGAAGACGAGGAGTGGAGGAGGACTGGAGGAGGACGAGTGGAGGAGCAGGTGGAGGAGGAGGTTGTGGAGGAGGAGGAGGAGGTGGAGGAGGAGGAGGAGAAGTCCAGGAGGACGAGTGGAGGAGGAGGAGTGGAGGAGGACGAGGTGTGGAGGAGGAGGAAGAGGAGGATCAGGAAGAAGAGATGGAGGAGGAAGGAGGAAGGAGAGGAAGAAGAGGGGAGAAGGGGAGGAGCTGGGTGAGAGGAAGTCAGTATCAACGCTCCTCTCGCTGTATTTAGCCTTTGCGCCAACATCCAGAATGAAAGATTGACGCCTTCACTTACGTACATATCGAAACTATGTGTACTCATAGGTGAAAAGCGCGCGCCTTCCCTTCGCCCGGGTCGGGCGTTCCTCTATATTAACATATTAATCAGTGTACATCCGTTTGGCGGACATGTTTAGCCATGTCTACATGTTCCGCATCTCCGAAACGTACTTCACATGGGACCTCTGCTGAGCTACTTACCAGTACAAGATGAACAACACGGTCAGACACATACGCCTTTGCCTACGAGTTTCACTATTGCAGGTCTGGGGATCACTGGGCAACAACTTGTGGGTTAATATCCGAACTCAAAGAGAACATGGCTAGACCCGCACCATGGACCGACGACGGGACTCTCGCGTGCAGCAGAGGGTGCCGTAACAGACTCGGCGTTGTTTGCTCCCTCTGTTGCCGTCGCCAGGTCATATATGGTGAAAGTGCGGTTGCACCGTGCATGGTGTCGGCATTTCAAGAGTAGCGGGACCTTGGTCTCAGGAAGGATGAAATCGAACCGTGGTTTGGCGATTCCGTCGTCGGCCATGGTCGGCACGCGCCACGATCCAGCCGCCACCGTACAGACACCAGTAGCAACCGACAAATGGCAAGCGAATGTTCGCGAAGGGGTTTGGTTCAAGCGTAAATTGGCAGTGGAGGGCAAATCCGCAGTCCAGACGAATGCCATGACCCATGTATCCTGGGTGCCTGAGTGCTGCCTGAATCCCCGCCCTCTTCAGCGTGACCACACGAAACTGGCACCAGCAGAGAAGCTTGCGCAGTGATAGATCCACTATCAGGAGCATTTCGGGGAGCAGGCTACAGGCCAGGACCCGACCGTGCCCATGGAAGCCTGGTGGCCATACTTCGGTCGCGGAATCATGATCGATGGCCTGCACTGCGACTTCTCCTTCTTGAAGACCCTCGTATAGGACTAGGACCAGTACGTGGACATTGATAACGAGGTCCAGAGTGCTGGCCAGGAAAATTGGGTTCAGGGCCGCGCTATGTCGAACGTGCTCCCTCTCAGCTCTCTCTCTCTCTCTCTCTATTTCAAGCGGGATGAGGTCCGCGACCGCCAGAGGAGGGAGACGACCCACTGCGCTTGGAACTTGCCATGTATCGGGTGTCTGGCGACGATGTCGGTGGCGCCCACGCTGCGAAACTTCGTTCGCGCGGCCCTGGAGCCCGCCCGAGCGCACCTGCGCAATTACGACAGCGCCACAGGCTTGAGGCTTCCGCTGGAAGAGCAGAATTCGTGCCTCCGGACGAGAGCATGATAACAGCTGCTGTCACGTTCTTTCGTGACTACCATTTCCCGGACGATCGCACGACACCGAACGCGCTGTCCATCGCGCGGCGTGTCAGATTTCTGTTTGGCAACCCACTTACAAGAACGACATACGATCCGCGCCACACCATGGCACATGCTTGCTGGTGCGATCAGTCATACCGCGGGGCAACTGTGACGCGAGGAAC